GTTAGTGTACTGGTCGTTAGTGTACTGGTTGTTAGTGTACTGGTTGTTAGTGTACTGGTTGTTAGTGTACTGGTTGTTAGTGTACTGGTTGTTAGTGTACTGGTGGTTAGTGTACTGGTCGTTAGTGTACTGGTTGTTAGTGTACTGGTTGTTAGTGTACTGGTCGTTAGTGTACTGGTTGTTAGTGTACTGGTTGTTAGTGTACTGGTTGTTAGTGTACTGGTTGTTAGTGTACTGGTTGTTAGTGTACTGGTGGTTAGTGTACTGGTCGTTAGTGTACTGGTTGTTAGTGTACTGGTTGTTAGTGTACTGGTTGTTAGTGTACTGGTCGTTAGTGTACTGGTTGTTAGTGTACTGGTTGTTAGTGTACTGGTTGTTAGTGTACTGGTTGTTAGTGTACTGGTTGTTAGTGTACTGGTTGTTAGTGTACTGGTCGTTAGTGTACTGGTTGTTAGTGTACTGTCGTTAGTGTACTGGTTGTTAGTGTACTGGTTGTTAGTGTACTGGTCGTTAGTGTACTGGTTGTTAGTGTACTGGTTGTTAGTGTACTGGTTGTTAGTGTACTGGTTGTTAGTGTACTGGTCGTTAGTGTACTGGTTGTTAGTGTACTGTCGTTAGTGTACTGGTTGTTAGTGTACTGGTTGTTAGTGTACTGGTCGTTAGTGTACTGTCGTTAGTGTACTGGTTGTTAGTGTACTGTCGTTAGTGTACTGGTTGTTAGTGTACTGGTTGTTAGTGTACTGGTTGTTAGTGTACTGTCGTTAGTGTACTGGTCGTTAGTGTACTGGTCGTTAGTGTACTGGTCGTTAGTGTACTGGTCGTTAGTGTACTGGTTGTTAGTGTACTGTCGTTAGTGTACTGGTTGTTAGTGTACTGGTCGTTAGTGTACTGGTTGTTAGTGTACTGTCGTTAGTGTACTGGTTGTTAGTGTACTGGTCGTTAGTGTACTGGTTGTTAGTGTACTGGTCGTTAGTGTACTGGTCGTTAGTGTACTGGTTGTTAGTGTACTGTCGTTAGTGTACTGGTTGTTAGTGTACTGGTCGTTAGTGTACTGGTTGTTAGTGTACTGTCGTTAGTGTACTGGTTGTTAGTGTACTGGTCGTTAGTGTACTGGTTGTTAGTGTACTGGTTGTTAGTGTACTGGTTGTTAGTGTACTAGTTGTTAGTGTACTGGTCGTTAGTGTACTGGTTGTTAGTGTACTGGTTGTTAGTGTACTGGTTGTTAGTGTACTGTCGTTAGTGTACTGGTCGTTAGTGTACTGGTCGTTAGTGTACTGGTTGTTAGTGTACTGGTCGTTAGTGTACTGGTTGTTAGTGTACTGTCGTTAGTGTACTGGTTGTTAGTGTACTGGTCGTTAGTGTACTGGTTGTTAGTGTACTGTCGTTAGTGTACTGGTTGTTAGTGTACTGTCGTTAGTGTACTGGTTGTTAGTGTACTGGTTGTTAGTGTACTAGTTGTTAGTGTACTGGTCGTTAGTGTACTGGTTGTTAGTGTACTGTCGTTAGTGTACTGGTTGTTAGTGTACTGGTTGTTAGTGTACTAGTTGTTAGTGTACTGGTCGTTAGTGTACTGGTTGTTAGTGTACTGGTTGTTAGTGTACTGGTTGTTAGTGTACTAGTTGTTAGTGTACTGGTCGTTAGTGTACTGGTTGTTAGTGTACTGGTTGTTAGTGTACTGGTTGTTAGTGTACTGTCGTTAGTGTACTGGTCGTTAGTGTACTGGTCGTTAGTGTACTGGTTGTTAGTGTACTGGTCGTTAGTGTACTGGTTGTTAGTGTACTGTCGTTAGTGTACTGGTTGTTAGTGTACTGGTTGTTAGTGTACTAGTTGTTAGTGTACTGGTCGTTAGTGTACTGGTTGTTAGTGTACTGGTTGTTAGTGTACTGGTCGTTAGTGTACTGGTCGTTAGTGTACTGGTTGTTAGTGTACTGGTTGTTAGTGTACTGGTTGTTAGTGTACTGGTTGTTAGTGTACTGGTTGTTAGTGTACTGTCGTTAGTGTACTGGTCGTTAGTGTACTGGTCGTTAGTGTACTGGTCGTTAGTGTACTGGTCGTTAGTGTACTGGTTGTTAGTGTACTGTCGTTAGTGTACTGGTTGTTAGTGTACTGGTTGTTAGTGTACTGGTTGTTAGTGTACTGTCGTTAGTGTACTGGTCGTTAGTGTACTGGTCGTTAGTGTACTGGTCGTTAGTGTACTGGTCGTTAGTGTACTGGTTGTTAGTGTACTGTCGTTAGTGTACTGGTTGTTAGTGTACTGGTCGTTAGTGTACTGGTTGTTAGTGTACTGTCGTTAGTGTACTGGTTGTTAGTGTACTGGTCGTTAGTGTACTGGTTGTTAGTGTACTGGTCGTTAGTGTACTGGTCGTTAGTGTACTGGTTGTTAGTGTACTGTCGTTAGTGTACTGGTTGTTAGTGTACTGGTCGTTAGTGTACTGGTTGTTAGTGTACTGTCGTTAGTGTACTGGTTGTTAGTGTACTGGTCGTTAGTGTACTGGTTGTTAGTGAACTGGTTGTTAGTGTACTGGTTGTTAGTGTACTAGTTGTTAGTGTACTGGTCGTTAGTGTACTGGTTGTTAGTGTACTGGTTGTTAGTGTACTGGTTGTTAGTGTACTGTCGTTAGTGTACTGGTCGTTAGTGTACTGGTCGTTAGTGTACTGGTTGTTAGTGTACTGGTCGTTAGTGTACTGGTTGTTAGTGTACTGTCGTTAGTGTACTGGTTGTTAGTGTACTGGTCGTTAGTGTACTGGTTGTTAGTGTACTGTCGTTAGTGTACTGGTTGTTAGTGTACTGTCGTTAGTGTACTGGTTGTTAGTGTACTGGTTGTTAGTGTACTAGTTGTTAGTGTACTGGTCGTTAGTGTACTGGTTGTTAGTGTACTGTCGTTAGTGTACTGGTTGTTAGTGTACTGGTTGTTAGTGTACTAGTTGTTAGTGTACTGGTCGTTAGTGTACTGGTTGTTAGTGTACTGGTTGTTAGTGTACTGGTTGTTAGTGTACTAGTTGTTAGTGTACTGGTTGTTAGTGTACTGTCGTTAGTGTACTGGTCGTTAGTGTACTGGTTGTTAGTGTACTGGTTGTTAGTGTACTGGTTGTTAGTGTACTAGTTGTTAGTGTACTGGTCGTTAGTGTACTGGTTGTTAGTGTACTGGTTGTTAGTGTACTGGTTGTTAGTGTACTGTCGTTAGTGTACTGGTCGTTAGTGTACTGGTTGTTAGTGTACTGGTCGTTAGTGTACTGGTTGTTAGTGTACTGTCGTTAGTGTACTGGTTGTTAGTGTACTGGTTGTTAGTGTACTAGTTGTTAGTGTACTGGTCGTTAGTGTACTGGTTGTTAGTGTACTGGTTGTTAGTGTACTGGTTGTTAGTGTACTGGTTGTTAGTGTACTGGTCGTTAGTGTACTGGTCGTTAGTGTACTGGTTGTTAGTGTACTGGTTGTTAGTGTACTGGTCGTTAGTGTACTGGTTGTTAGTGTACTGGTTGTTAGTGTACTGGTTGTTAGTGTACTGGTCGTTATATAGAAATGATGGTCTTCTCTTTGGCACTATTGAAGGTAAAGTTATGCTCACAAGGTTGTCATAAATTTCAAGTGCAGGTTAAGCATATATATGGACCATGTGTCTGCGGTGTTTATTGGGTCGGCGCGCACACGGCGGAGGTCCGCTCTCCAGGGAGGTCAGGCGGCTACTGGCGGCAACTTGCACATTTTGAATGAAGGCTCCGCCTCCGGCTCATGACGTCACATACAGAAAAGCCTGCCATTGGTGGAGGCCTTCCCAAGGTTAAACTGCCATACATCCCATTGGCTGACACATGTACTGGTGTTTTAATGTTTCGGTTATCATATATTGGTGTGGTCATCTGTGTTCTGTCCGGGTCTCTTAAACCATTTTTAAATTGACGGAATCAACCTGTAACGGAATTTAACGGAATCAACCAATTCGTTAAAAATGCGACGGTTTCGTACAAATTATAGCACCGTAATGTTGACGTTTTCTTTGCATCGACGTCTATAGGTTAGGTAACTTGCTTGAGTTCATATGATTCTACTTGGGCAAAACAGCTGCATTTTTTACAGTGGTAAATCGAGAGAATGGTCTGAATACCTAACTGTTGTTATCCTTTAATTCTGCATAATTCCTTGCTACATGTAGCGAGATGTTAGCGAGTATTGTGTTATTGTCTTTGTCTCTAATTCACTTGCTGTCATATATGTGTTGAGGTACCCGGTGGTGCCCGGGACTCTGGATGTGGGATATTTTCCCACCAGGTATTTATTTTTTTTTAATTTATTTATATTAAAAGTGGACTGTATATTTAAAAGTTATCCTGCTAGGTGTTTACCTGTACACAGGTTTGAGGGGTTATATACATAGCCAATACCACAAATAATGGTTATAAATAAGCAACAAAATTTAATGTTAGTACTACTGCTGAAATGGATTAAATGTTATATTGGCTTCAGCTGTTGTTAGTGTGAGAACTGGTCCTCCAACATCAGACTTTGGTCCGCCACTGGTCCGTCCTGGACTTGTATTAATGGCGGCTGTAGGGGAAGCCAGAGCAAGTATGGCGTCTGTACAGTCTTTTCTCGGTGTTAACAGCTCTCTATGATTTCTTCAGTTCGTCACAGGTTACCTGCCAAATGTTTACACTGTACCAATTGTACAACTATTATAGTCACTACGAGGGGCCTCGTAGCCTGGTGGATAGCGCGCAGGACTCGTAATTCTGTGGCGCGGGTTCGATTCCCACACGAGGCAGAAACAAATGGGCAAAGTTTCTTTCACCCTGAATGCCCCTGTTACCTAGCAGTAAATAGGTACCTGGGAGTTAGTCAGCTGTCACGGGCTGCTTCCTGGGGGTGGAGGCCTGGTCGAGGACCGGGCCGCAGGGACACTAAAGCCCCGAAATCATCTCAAGATAACTATATGTGGCATGCATGTATTAGTATCGTGTAATTGATAAATCCAGGCTCACTATGGTTTTGGTGTTCGCCTACTCTATAACCGAGTTGAATCTAATGTTATCAGGCCTTCTAATATAAGATAGTTGATCAGAACGGAAATAAAGGTACTCCCCGAAGGTGGTGAGGTCGCTGTGGGGGGATCACTGTTCGGTGGTTGAAATATGAGATCTTTGTAGTGAGTGCGTAGCGGACCTCTGGAGGAGTCTTCTTTGTAGTGAGTGCGTAGCGGACCTCTGGAGGTGTCTTCTTTGTAGTGAGTGCGTAGCGGACCTCTGGAGGTGTCTTCTTTGTAGTGAGTGCGTAGCGGACCTCTGGAGGTGTCTTCTTTGTAGTGAGTGTGTAGCGGACCTCTGGAGGTGTCTTCTTTGTAGTGAGTGCGTAGCGGACCTCTGGAGGAGTATTCTTTGTAGTGAGTGCGTAGCGGACCTCTGGAGGAGGCTTCTTTGTAGTGAGTACGTAGCGGACCTCTGGAGGAGTCTTCTTTGTAGTGAGTGCGTAGCGGACCTCTGGAGGAGTCTTCTTTGCACCGGACCTCTGGAGGAGTCTTCTTTGTAGTGAGTGCGTAGCGGACCTCTGGAGGAGTCTTCTTTGTAGTGAGTGCGTAGCGGACCTCTGGAGGAGTCTTCTTTGTAGTGAGTGCGTAGCGGACCTCTGGAGGTGTCTTCTTTGTAGTGAGTGCGTAGCGGACCTCTGGAGGAGTCTTCTTTGTAGTGAGTGCGTAGCGGACCTCTGGAGGAGTCTTCTTTGTAGTGAGTGCGTAGCGGACCTTTGGAGGAGTATTCTTTGTAGTGAGTGCGTAGCGGACCTTTGGAGGAGTATTCTTTGTAGTGAGTGCGTAGCGGACCTCTGGAGGTGTCTTCTTTGTAGTGAGTGCGTAGCGGACCTCTGGAGGTGTCTTCTTTGTAGTGAGTGCGTAGCGGACCTCTGGAGGTGTCTTCTTTGTAGTGAGTGCGTAGCGGACCTCTGGAGGTGTCTTCTTTGTAGTGAGTGCGTAGCGGACCTCTGGAGGAGGCTTCTTTGTAGTGAGTGCGTAGCGGACCTCTGGAGGAGTCTTCTTTGTAGTGAGTGCGTAGCGGACCTCTGGAGGAGTCTTCTTTGTAGTGAGTGCGTAGCGGACCTTTGGAGGAGTATTCTTTGTAGTGAGTGCGTAGCGGACCTCTGGAGGTGTCTTCTTTGTAGTGAGTGCGTAGCGGACCTCTGGAGGAGTATTCTTTGTAGTGAGTGCGTAGCGGACCTTTGGAGGAGTATTCTTTGTAGTGAGTGCGTAGCGGACCTCTGGAGGTGTCTTCTTTGTAGTGAGTGCGTAGCGGACCTCTGGAGGAGTCTTCTTTGTAGTGAGTGCGTAGCGGACCTCTGGAGGAGTCTTCTTTGTAGTGAGTGCGTAGCGGACCTTTGGAGGAGTATTCTTTGTAGTGAGTGCGTAGCGGACCTCTGGAGGTGTCTTCTTTGTAGTGAGTGCGTAGCGGACCTCTGGAGGAGTATTCTTTGTAGTGAGTGCGTAGTGGACCTCTGGAGGTGTCTTCTTTGTAGTGAGTGCGTAGCGGACCTCTGGAGGAGTATTCTTTGTAGTGAGTGCGTAGCGGACCTCTGGAGGAGTCTTCTTTGTAGTGAGTGCGTAGCGGACCTCTGGAGGAGTCTTCTTTGTAGTGAGTGCGTAGCGGACCTCTGGAGGAGTCTTCTTTGTAGTGAGTGCGTAGCGGACCTCTGGAGGTGTCTTCTTTGTAGTGAGTGCGTAACGGACCTCTGGAGGAGTCTTCTTTGTAGTGAGTGCGTAGCGGACCTCTGGAGGAGTCTTCTTTGTAGTGAGTGCGTAGCGGACCTCTGGAGGAGTCTTCTTTGTAGTGAGTGCGTAGCGGACCTCTGGAGGAGTCTTCTTTGTAGTGAGTGCGTAGCGGACCTCTGGAGGAGTCTTCTTTGTAGTGAGTGCGTAGCGGACCTCTGGAGGAGTCTTCTTTGTAGTGAGTGCGTAGCGGACCTCTGGAGGACCTCTTTGTAGTAGTGCGTAGCGGACCTCTGGAGTCTTCTTTGTAGTGAGTGCGTAGCGGACCTCTGGAGGAGTCTTCTTTGTAGTGAGTGCGTAGCGGACCTCTGGAGGAGTCTTCTTTGTAGTGAGTGCGTAGCGGACCTCTGGAGGAGTCTTCTTTGTAGTGAGTGCGTAGCGGACCTCTGGAGGAGTCTTCTTTGTAGTGAGTGCGTAGCGGACCTCTGGAGGTGTCTTCTTTGTAGTGAGTGCGTAGCGGACCTCTGGAGGAGTATTCTTTGTAGTGAGTGCGTAGCGGACCTCTGGAGGTGTCTTCTTTGTAGTGAGTGCGTAGCGGACCTCTGGAGGAGTCTTCTTTGTAGTGAGTGCGTAGCGGACCTCTGGAGGAGTCTTCTTTGTAGTGAGTGCGTAGCGGACCTCTGGAGGAGTCTTCTTTGTAGTGAGTGCGTAGCGGACCTCTGGGGAGTCTTCTTTGTAGTGAGTGCGTAGCGGACCTCTGGAGGTGTCTTCTTTGTAGTGAGTGCGTAACGGACCTCTGGAGGAGTCTTCTTTGTAGTGAGTGCGTAGCGGACCTCTGGAGGAGTCTTCTTTGTAGTGAGTGCGTAGCGGACCTCTGGAGGTGTCTTCTTTGTAGTGAGTGCGTAACGGACCTCTGGAGGAGTCTTCTTTGTAGTGAGTGCGTAGCGGACCTCTGGAGGAGTCTTCTTTGTAGTGAGTGCGTAGCGGACCTCTGGAGGAGTCCTTCTTTGTAGTGAGTGCGTAGCGGACCTCTGGAGGAGTCTTCTTTGTAGTGAGTGCGTAGCGGACCTCTGGAGGAGTCTTCTTTGTAGTGAGTGCGTAGCGGACCTCTGGAGGAGTCTTCTTTGTTTACATACACTCTCTAGTCCGCTGTCTCCTCTCTGGGAGCGGCGTCTGCCAAAAATATGGTTCTATTTTCTGACTTAATGACTTAGGGAGGTAGACTTTAGTTTTATTGATAATTATATTAGATCCGGTCATAAAGAAGTTTTTTTTTATTAATTCTAATGCCAAGACCGGTGGTTTAAAGATACGCGATGCTTAACTGTATGTTTTGATGACGTCACGGATTTCCCGTTCTCTATAATTCTTTTATGACTAACGAGTGTAAATTAACAACATCTTATTGCGGTTAGTATGTTAGTGTATGTATCCGACGCTAGATATGTCTCCCTCCCATTCTCTCTTGTTCTTTCTCCCCCATGCTATTCTCACTCGCTCCCTCCTCTCATTCTCTTCCCTCTTCCACTCTCTCGTAACATGCAGTATCCACGCCCAGCAAAAACACAGTAAATATGCTATTGTTACTTTCATGCAACGTTGTCACAACATTCTGCCTTGAACATTTTTTTTATTAACACATTTAGGTACATGTACGTTTGCTCAGCTGCTCTAGACTATATGAAGGAGTACAGAGTGCGTAAAAAAAATGTTTATGTGATGCTAAAAATCCCCATCACACAGAGGCATGTGTAGTCTGCACTGGCGGACTCTGGGTGCATTATGAGGATAGCTTCAAGAACACGAGAGGTAATAAAGTAATTGCAAAGCTCCAGGTACCTCATGCCAACTGGTCTGAAAGGTCTAATAACTGGGCATTCGGTGATGTAGTGTGGGAGATCATGCTGTAGTTCCTGCTCACAGAGTTTGCAACTGGAGTGCTCAGGATTGGGAGACCCGTCACCTGTAGCCACCTGCCACAGGTAACGGTAACCCAACCTGATCCTTGCAACTACTGTGCCGCACAGTCTAGTGGACGTTTTGTGCTGCCCATAGATGTAGGTTTCAGATCTGAACAAATCATAGCTTTTTATACTAGTACTTTCAGGTCGTTGGGAGTCAGTAATTTCTTTCCTATCAGATCTGAGTGTTTGGACCAATACAGTTTTGACAGCAGAGATGGGGATACCTAGATCTAATTCACCTTTATCTTTGTTACATGATAATTTGGTTGCAATGTCTGTTTCATTATGATGGGTTATATTTATGTGTGAAGGTATCCATACAAAGGAGATTCAAAACCCTTGCTAAAATTTTTCTTCTAAAATTCTTGCAAAAATCGCTAGTACGAGGTTCTTGCTGTCGATCTTCCAACTGAAAGTCTTAACCCGGATTAATGAGGAAGAGTCCGGGTAACTGGGCTCTCCAGCTGTCCGGACAATTCTGAATTGGACAAAACTGATGCAAACTGACGCTTGTCGCGCCATCACAAAGTCCTCTTTATGATCACTATATTTTCTCACTGATTGTAACAATATTTTGTATATTTGGGCGCTAATTGTTGTTGTTTTGTGGTCCTTGAGCAGTAGAGGTGCTCTCTCCCTCCCTCCTCCCTCTCCCTTCTCCCTCTCCCAGCACCTCTCCCTTAATACTCGTCTCCCACGCGTCGTGAGAGTGGGAGAGAGCGGCTCAATAGCTCTTTGTAGCAAGCGTGGCTACGCTGACCGGGGGTTGGGGGGCGTTGTTGTAGGGAGGGGGGCGGGGGGCGCTAAAGGAAGAGGTGTATTGGGGTAGGGGGACTAGGGGAGGGGGGCTATTATCCCTGTCTTCTATCAGGGACAATATCAAATACTTCTTGACAGTCATGGAAAAGGGAATCTACCCAACCTTCTTTCTCTCCAGTTTTGGGTAACTTTGCCATAGGACTCTAGTAAGTTTATCCGGCGTGACTCTCCTCTTTGAAGTCCATGTTGCCCAATTGTTACGAAGTTGATCCCGTTTAAATGTTTGGGTATTGTCATCCTGGTTTACCATTATTGTACCTGTATACTCGTCTGCGATACTCATGAGTATACAGATGTTTTTTGGTTTACCTTGATGTATTTGTTTTCGAATTGTGGTTGTGTGGTTGTGTGGTTGT